GCTGAACCCGAAACCCCTGAACCCTGAACCCCAAACCCTGAACCCTGAAAAACCCCTAGACCCCCGCCCTGAAACTCTGAACCTTAAATTCCGCAGATTCTTGATGACCCCTTCGATGATCCGGACGGGCCCGGGGCTCAGAGAGGTGACGGCTCCGGGGTTTGGGGCTGATAATGGGCTTTATGAGGGTTCCTCGGGACTTTTAGTTTTTAGTCGAGCTCCGTAAGAGTTCAAATATAGCAATAATCATAGGGTAGTAACAATACTCATCGTACTAATCATAATCATACTAACCATAATCACAATAATCATAGTAATCATAATAATTAATAGTCGCAAAGACTTTCACAGCACGAAGAAGAATAATGATAGGAGGGTTCGGGGCTTGGGGTTTGGGCTTTTGTATAGGCTTCAAGCAAGAGTTTCGGCGCACAGCCCGAAGCTCATCTCTACCCCCCAACCGCAAGCCCCACCTACACGCTCAAAGGCCTGAAAGCTGACCTCAACTCCAAGCCTCAAGCCCTTACACCCCAGTGAAGAAGAAGGAGACAGCTTAAGGCCTGAAGTCTCCACCGTAGCACGAATCTGGAGCAGTCCCTGCGACAAGGTCTGGGCTTAGAACTGGTTTAGGGTTTAGGGTGAGCCCCTAAAAGTGTGATGGTGCAAGTCAGGCCAGGGTCCTTCTTCGGATCCTAAAAGTGGCCCTAACTTGGAGAAGGCTCGATCCTGAACGCTAGAATGGCTTATTTGGAGAGCCCTAAACCTTGCAACCTGCGTTGAAATCAATTCCTCAGCCCTGCCACAAAGAAAAGGGCCCTAGTTCAACGAAACCCCAAACTTGCGTCCCATGTAAGACCCCAATAGCCTATAGCACATCCTCATGCTTATACTAGGAACCACACACAACCGGGCCCTGAGGGTGATGCTTTGTGTATAGTAACCCTTATAGGAACCTGTAAAGGGACCTTCGTCTAACTGTGAGGGCCCCTAACATAAGGGCCTAGATAATTGCGGATACCTTGTTATAGGTATAGTATAATGGGCACCAAAACCTTACTCTGATTATGAAGGCGCCCAGGCTAACTTGCATCTCATGCCGACTTTCAAGGCTGGCAGAGCTCATCCCGCCAAAGTCGCCCGACGTCGTCAAAGACGAGGCTTTTGAGGGTCCGACGGCTTGGGTTTCTACAAGGCCACTATAAGGGTCATTATACGGGTTGCTACAAGGGATCGAGGCTTTTCTTGGGTTAGGGTTCTGGGTTTCGTGGTTCAGAGGTCAGAGTTTGAGGTTTCGGGGTACTGGTTTGGATGCAATGGCCACTCAGACAAAACACGGAATTGCACAGGGATGGCAAGTCCAAGTATTTCTTGGTATTGTAAATCTCGACCTCCGATTAAGTAACTCCCCTTGAAGATTTGAAGGATCGCATAGCAGCCGCAAGGATGGTCCGTACTACTACTACTACTACTACTACTACTACTACTACTACTACTACTACTTCTACTACTACTACTACTTCTACTACTACTACTACTGCTACTACTACTACTCCTGCTGCTGCTGCTACTACTACTACTCCTACTGCTACTGCTACTCCTACTACTCCTACTACTACTGCTATTCCTACTATTCCTGCTCCAGTTACTACTGCTACTACTACTACTACTACTACCACCACCACAACTGCTACTGCAACTGCTACCGCGACTACTCTTGGTATTACCACCTCACTGCGACTCCTACTCCTCCGCTCCTGCTGGACTGAAGCTGCTGCCGCTGCTGCTACTGCTAAAGTGCTAGGACTGCTGACAAAACTAGTCATGACCAATAAGACGAGCAGCAATCTGTACAAATGTTGGTTCACCGGTAGACATACGAAAAGCATCAGGCCACTGGGGAGACGCAACACTGCAGCGGAACAGAAGCTGGGGTTTCAGGGTTTCGGGGTTCAGGGTTTAGGGTTTAGGGGCTTCGGGTTGAGTTTAGCACCGATGATGCAAAGCACAGGTTTTAGCGGTTTGGGACTTCCTTCAACCCCTTCGGTGCAGGTGCTGAAGACCATCGAGAACGAGGAAGACGAAGCAGAGCTACAGGACATCCGAGAGAGATTTCGTTGTTCCCTGTTCCTCTCGTTGCAATCTGCGAAGAAGTCGACTTGCGCCCTGATCTGGATGAGCATGCGCTTCATTTTCTGAGGAAGTCCAGGCCATTCAGTTTAAGCAGCTAGTCGGGCAGTGATCAGTGGCAACATATCGACAGCAGCAGAAATACCATTGTAGTGGTACTCTGCGCAGCAACGTATCAGTGTCGTTTGTGGCGGTGGTGGTGGTGGTGGTGGTGGTGGTGGTGCTGCTGCTGCTGCTATAGTGGTGGTGGTGGTGGTGGTGGTGGTGGTTGTTGTTGGTAGTGGTGGTGCTGCTGCTGTTGTTGTAGTCTTCCCCTGGCTGCTATTTTGATTTCCGACTTGCTCTTGCCGTCTGCGAGGTATCAGTCTGAGTTGGTAGTGCATCAACATGCATCAGCATTGGCAGGCCTATTGCTAATATTCCCATCGCCACCAAAATCGCCGCCACGCACCGCCGCCGCCGCAGTCGTCACCATATCACCATACTGTCACCATCATTCTTATTCTTATTGTTTTGGTGTCAACTCTCCAAACCCTACACGCTACACCCTACACCCACTTCTCGTTCTCTTAGAACCCTGATCTGAGTGTCCTACGCGTGAGGAGAGGATGGCAAAGACGCTGGCCAAAAGCCAGGCAACAGGGCCGCGAGGGTTGAGGGTTCAAGTTTGAGTTTAGGATGTGCAGGGTGCAGAGTTGCCGGCGGGGCTCTCGCAACTTTGGGAAGGTTTAGCAGCTTGTGCTTGAGCTTTCTGCAGTTATAGGGGATTAGTGCCCACAAGATTTGGCTGGAATTTGCCAATGTTCGAGGCTTTGCGGTTTTGCGTTGCTGAGGTCGATTTAGATGGCCGCGGTTTCTGTGCCGGAGCCAGTCATGTAGTCAGAGGATTCGTCGGCCACACATGCTTGTGGCAGAGGCTTCTTCTCATGTCCCCCAAAACGACATTCTAACTATTAAGTCTATGTTAGTCCAAGCTCACGGTTGAGGTTGCACACCATTACGGTACTAGAGCTCGACGCTACACCAAAAGTGATGACGTCGTCCGCGAGCTTCAGCCGTTCGACTCTGAATTCTCAACTGCACCTGTACGCCCCAAAGCCTGTCTGTCTTGCTAAGGGCATGCCGAGCCCTAGTTTATTGATTAAGACCCTACGTTACCAGAGTCCTGCACTGCAAGGCGACGACGTTGGAGTTGTTGCACGACCTGCCGGATGCGGAGATCGCGCCACCGGAGCGCTGGGTGGCGGCTTATGGTTTAGAGTTTGGGGGCTTAGGGTTAAAGGCTTCGAGTTTAGAGTATAGAGCTTAGGTTTAGAGGTTGGGGTCTGGGTTTTAAAGTTTAAAGCTTAGGGCTCAGAATTGCGAGTTTTTTTCGGCTTAGAGTTCCAGTTTGGCCTTGGGTTCGACTTGATCCCTAAACCCACCAACTATACGCCAAACCCGGGAATCCTAAACTCCAGACTCATTCATTGTCGAAGGCAGCACTTTCCTGTGTAAGGTGTTGGGGTATGTTGTGGCTTCTCTTGCTGATCTTTTTCCAGAATATTTCAGAGGCTTGAAAGAGCCGGCCAAGTATCTCAAAGAGGGCCTGGAGGTTTTCTTCCCGTCGCCTCGACATTCGGAGTGTTGCCTTGGTGACACGGTGTCGCAGCACATCAGTTTCAAAGTGGCATCCCTTACAGTTTGACGGTTCCGTTATCAGATGAGGTCGGTGGCATGCCGGTTGTTGTCGTCGGCTTCTTCGTCATCGTGACTTTAGCAGGTGCAGAAAACTTACATCTAACGAGCCAGAACGTGCAGAAGGAGGAGGAGGAGGAGGAGGAGGAGGAGGAGGAGAACAAGCAACTACAACCGTAGCGGCCACCCCCAAACCCTTGACCCGCCTAACCCCTAAAACGGCAACGGCAGCAGCACATTGCAGTGGTGATGATAAGCATGACCTGGCCAGGGAAAGGTAGACCCATGCTTGAATTACTACAAAGGCCTTTGGGGGGGGCCTTATTATAGCTACAGCATAATACACCCCAAACCCACATTCTAATTATTAATGCCCCCTAGATTACATTAACATCTTCCTCGTCGGCGTTCTCCTTCTCAGTATCACGAGCATTCTCAGCACCGCTATCGGCAGCATCGTTATCACCGCCGCCGCCACCACCATCACCATGATTACCACCATGGTCGTCATCACAGTGTATGTATCCACATCAAGTATCCGCATGAGCACCACCACTGGGTTACCGGTAACTAATGCAGTTGAACAGGACCGGAGGGTCTCTTTTTCAAGTTTCCACTCGAGCAGGCAGCGAATGCAGACTCAGTTTGGGGTCTAGTTGGTTTAGCACTTTGGAGGACCAGGGTTTCTCAGCTAAGCCAACTTCAGTTACTCCTGCAGCAGGACACAGACCTCTTCGTGGCCAAGCTGAATCCTGTGACGCAGGCCTGGCACTTGAAAAGCACGGATACAATGACTATGCTGCTCGTTGTACAAGTACTCGCGGCACCGGGAAGTGCCCAGTAGTAGCAGCCCTCGTGCACTAGTGTATTTACCACGCTATAGGCACGTGCAGAAGCCGCACCCTGAACTCTCAAATACCTCTTGGCAATACAGATCCAAAGTCGACACCCTGTGCTTTGCAACCCAAACCCTGAACCCAGAAGCCCACGCAGTAAAGGCACTACGGCCTGTACTAAAAAGTCTTACGACGACCCATACTACTCAATTTGCTGCTCCATTTCCACGCAGCTGTGCTTTCCGTGCATCTGCACCAGTGAATCAAAGGAGCACGAAAGTGCACGGGACTGAGACGAGTTTAGGATCCCTTAAAGGGTTTAGGGTTGAGGGTTCCTTTAAGGGGCCCTTTAATGGATCCATGGCCTCGCTTCGAAGCCGTTTGCTCGGAGCCCTGCCGTCCGAGCTGCGAGGTGCTCCCAGGCCCCGGCTTCTCTCCACCGCGCCCAGTGCACCGCCTCTCTGGTGGAGGCAGGGCCGGCGGAGGACGGTGCACCACAGCTACGCAGAGGTGGAGCTCTTGTCCCGCCTGGCGGTGCTCCTGTTGCCACGGGAACCTATCGGCGAGCTCTTCCGCGATTTCCCGGTTAAGAAATCGGAGGTGTGGGGCAAGCCTTGGCTCTGCCCCGACATCTCTGCCTTTGGCGTGCTGAAGGTGGAAGAGGCAGCTTTGTTCATCGAGTACGACGGGTGCTTTCGTCATTCTGAGCCGCAGGGGCAACAGAGGGACGAGCGCAAGACGGCAGCTCTGCTTCGCTATGCACCCCCAGGCTCACAAGTCCTGCGGATCGGTCATGTGCATCAGGACTTGAGCAGGGCGGAAAATGTGACACACGCCGTCGTCGATGTTTGGCGAGCAGGGCACGAGCCGTCGCTGATGAAAGTTGTGCAGCAAACCGTACGAGCCCTTCTTCAGAGGTTTGAGCTTTTTCTCCAACAGGATGTGTGTGAGCGTCTCAGCAGAAATGATGTCGCGGAGCCCAAGCAAGACTTTCTCAAAGCAACCACATTTGCGAGTGAGGCACTGTTGACAAAGGCTGTCGAGAGTAAGAAGATGAATCTGTATGCGTTCATGGAAGCGGAATTGCAATTTACAAGCACCAGACTTGAGGCGTTGGCACGCAAGTTTCCGCGAGTCTGGGGTGTCAACCTTGAAAGCCATTTGAAACCCACAGTGGCCTGGCTCGAGGATGTCGGGCTCAGCCGCGATCAGGTGGGCAAAGTCATTGCTCGTTGTCCTCAAGTGTTGAGCTGTAGCATTGACCACAATCTGAAACCCAGAGTGGCCTGGCTTGAGGATGTCGGGCTCAGCCGCGATCAGGTGGCCAAAGTCGTTGCTCGCGCTCCGCAAACTTTGAGCTGCAGCATCGAGGCAAATCTGAAACCAACAGTGACCCTTCTGGAAGATGTTGGGCTGAATCGACAGCAGGTGGCCAAAGTCGTTGCTCGTGCTCCGCAAGCGTTGACCTGCAGCATCCAGGCAAATCTGAAACCAACTATGGCGTGGCTGGAAGATGTTGGCCTGAATCGACAGCAGGTGGCCAAAGTCGTTGCTCGCTATCCGCAAGTGTTGGGAGGCAGCATCGACGGCAAGCTGAAACTTGTAGTGGCATGGCTCGAGGGTGTTGGGCTGTGTGGTAAGCACGTAATCAAAGTCCTGGTTCGTTATCCTCAAGTGTTGGGCTGCAGCATCGAGGCCAATCTGAAGCCCACAGTGGCCTGGCTCGGGGATATTGGGCTGAGCCGCCAGCAGGTGGCCAAAGCCGTTGCTCGTTCTCCTCCAGTCCTGGGCCTAAGCATCGGCGCCAATCTGAAGCCCACAGTGGCCTGGCTCCAGCATATTGGGCTGAGCCGGAAACAGGTCGCCAAAATCATTGCTGGCTATCCTCAAGTCCTGAGCCATAGCATTGAGAACAACCTGTTGCCAAAACACGTTCTTCTGCGACGGTCTTTTGCATCTGAACAGATCTGCTCCATGATCGAGTACCTTCCACCATTGCTTGGCCTGAGCATTACTCGCCTACGTCATCGCTTGAAGATCTTGGAGCAGCACGGCCGCTTGAGCGAACTTGCAAAGATAATGGCTCTGACTGATGCGAAGTTTGCCCGGCGATTCCCTCATTAAACCCTAAACCCAAAACCCAAAACCCAAAACCCTAAACCCTAAATCCTAAACCCAAAACCCTAAACCCTAAACCCTAAACCCTAAACCCTAAACCCTAAACCTCACTGAGCTGCGACGGGAAGTGCGCGTGGGAGCGTCAGACTTTCGAGGCAGCCCTCGATTTCGAGCAGCCGTGCAGAGCTGCGACAAAAAAAGAGCGTGCACACAACCCGAAGTTATTAATGCAGGGGCCTTAAGAATTAGAATAGGGTTTTGGGGCCCATTATACTCTAATTATTATAATAAGGAACCCCCAAAATAGTATATATATATATATATATATATATATATATATAGAGGTAATTATTTGGGCGGCCACATAACCCGAAGTTCTGCGACTCCAAGCCTTCCTGCTGGAGCCTCACCCTTCAAAAGCTTTTGCAAGAAGGGTTCAGGGTCTCTAAATGTTCCGGGAGCCATCTGCCGAGTCTGTGGGAGGATATTCTCACCCCACTCCCATGCCCCAAAAGCAGCCAAAACGCAAAATCCGAGAGCTACCGAGCCGAAACCGGGCCTTGGCCAGAGGTGGGTAGTATTATTAGGGAGACCCCTTAAAGGGCACCCCTTCTGAACCCTACTTCTGGCTCTCTTAAAAGGGGCCTTATTGAGAGGGTCTATATCCCCAAGGGTCCCCCTAATCCTAACTCCCAAGAGGGTTTGTTTTGCTGGCACAGTCGAGACGTCTCTGAACCGAGAGACTCCGGTAGCTGTTATCTGAGGCTTTTGACTAGAATCTAAGGGATAGCCTCCGGTTGACGATTATAAGACCCCTTGTGAACAACCCTGCTTACAAGGCCTCAAATAATGAGTCCGTAAACCCCGAAGCCCCAAAACCCTAAAGCCTCAAACCCAAACCCCAAGCCCCCCAAACGCGCCCCAACCCGCAACAAACCCCAAAGCCCTAAAGCCTCAAGCCGTCAACCCTAAACCCTAAGGACCAAAGCCCTAAACCCCCAGAAAAAGCCACCGGGCGAGGACGGCGACCTCGAGCTCATCTTCTCCCGCGGGGGCTCCCGGAATCCGGAACCCAGTTAGGGTTTGGGGATTACGGATCAGGGTTTAGGGGTCAGGGTTTAAGGTCAGGTTTACAAGGGTTTAGGTTTTAGGGTTGGGGGCTCTCTAAGAATATCGATTTATAAGGGGACAGGGTGTAGGGTTCTATAAGTTAGACAACACCAAAGCCCTATTTCAACAAGAGACCGACAAACCCCGAAGCCCCCGATTCGCAGCAGCTCGTGCCTAATCCGGAAAGGAAGCACCCCACGAGCTCCAAACCTTCGGGACCCAACCGTGAACGACGTGCCTAAAGCCCCAGGCCCATACAGTAAGGCCTACATCCTAAACCTATAATGCTTACATCTAAGAGTACCGCGTTCCGGAGGCTGTCGGGATGAAGCCGTCTCAGGGTTTGACTTCAAGGTTTGTGCCGTCCGAGTTCGAGTTCGAGATGACATGTGCTGTTGAGGGTAGGATATAGGGTTAAGGGTTTTCAGAGGGTTTATGGGGTTTAGAGTTTAGGGTGTAGGGTTCAGAGGTCAAGGGTTTAGGATCTGAATCTAAGGGTTCATGGGTTTAAGGGTTTAGGGTTTCCGACAGGAATTCAGGGTTAAGGGTATGAGGCCGAGGCGTCATGGCCCACTGCCTCTGACAGGCTTCGGGCCGATCAAGAGTTGCGAGATTGTGCGCGACTGGAAGCGCCTTCCCGAGTTTGCTTTTGCTTTTTCTTACTTTTGGTCAGAAGGGAATGGTAGTAGTAGCAGTAGTAGCTATAATTGTACCCCATTCCTCCATTCCCTACTAACCAAAGGTAAGTTTTTTGGTTTTGGGGTTCAGGCGTTTTAGGGTTCAGAGTTTGTTAGGGGGAGGGCGGGGGTCTTGGGCTTCGTATTGACTTCAGGCGTCGGGGTTTGTGCGATAGCCGTAGAGCTACTTTACGTCTATGCCGAGAAGGCCCTATGACCGAGAAGCTGCAGATGAAATCACACAGCTGCGAAAGAAGATAAGCGAGTAGGCAGATGCTCATCCATACAGTCAGTTGCAGAAACTACAGTGCAGGGTGATACATACAGCCATGTAGCCCCTGAGCCGAAGATAGCCACCCTTACAGCCGTTGGGCAGATCTCGGGGCTTTGAGTGACGAGGGGCGTGGGGGCAGCCTGAGATACTCCCGGTTGTTGCTTTTCGGATCGAGCTGTTCGTAGGTGCTGGAAAAACTCAACGAGCGCCAGAGAAAACTCCCTTTCACTGAAAGCCAAAGTCTGGACCTTTCATTTCATGTTTCCTCCTCTGATGCGTGACTCTTTGTCTTTTCTTGCGTATCCTGTGGATGTTTCGGTACCACTGTGCGGCGACCCAAAACGGTGGTGGCGCCTTGCAGCCCTAAAGTTCCCTAAAGCATCCCAAGGCCTAACATCCCTGAGAAGCGTGTCATGCCCAAAGGACTGGTGATTCACTGCAGTACGCCTTCATCATCTTTGAGAACCCTCGGGATTGTGAGCAGGTGAGGGGTTGCTGCTGCCCCTGAGCTCAACAGCTGAAAGTACTGAAAGCTTCAGCGCAAATCCAGTGGCTTCACGGCTTTTGTGTGCATCTTTCTGCGAGACCCGATGCAGTCTTTGCGTGTTCTTCGCGCAGGCTTACTTCAAGATGCACGACTGCGTCATCGACGACAGGCCGACGGTTTTGCGAGAAGTCTTAGTCGGCTTTGGAGGGTCTCTAGGGTTTCATAAGGGGTCCTGCAAGGGTCCCACGCGGGCGCTACGCCATGTCTTGGACCATGTCTGGGTGTCTTAGTGCAGCGACCCTGTGGACCTACGGGCATTGCGGCTGCAGCAGCAGCAGTGCATCCAGCGCGCGGTCATTATCTTCATCATCAGCACCATCATCATTATGAGCTCAGTGTCGTCGCATGCATCATCCTCGCCACTGTCATGATTGCGTCATCATCATGACGACAATCGCCAGAATGTGAGGAAACTCACAAGAGTATTTGGACCTCGAGTCGTCGAAGCACAGCGATGCAGCAATGAGTTGCTCCAGTCGCCGGCGAGAGCAAGCAGGTCAGTATCAGAACGGCGTGCTAAAGTTCTGAGAGTGCTGAAATGCCGTAGCTGGAATGTCACTCCACACTCCAATACAACAAAAGACCCTGAAGCCGAGTGCAGCATTAGTACTCGACAGTTCTTCAGAGCATGCCTATCTGTTTTGAGTTGGAGTAAACATAAACTGCCAGCACACACATCCTAATGGATTTATGTGTCCGCATATTGAAGCCGAATAGAACGCAACATTTGGGAAGGCGCATCTTTGTCAACTTCTCGCAGTCCGTGGCAAAGCTCTGGAACAAGTGGCGGACGGGCTCACGAATGACCAAGGACGGCAATGAAAATCTCAGCAGTACACTCCTGCAGGCACTGAACTGCGCCCCGTGGTTTCTCTGAGAGGTTCATAAATCATGTCCTCGCATGAACCGTGCTGGAAGGACCAGTAAGCAGGGCTTGAAGCTTGGTAGCCCTAACCGACAAGGTGCTGATAAGCCCAGCTTACGGTTTTGGCTGTTCTCAAAGGGGAAAAGGAGGGACCCTTAATGGGGACCCCTACCCTATAATGGGCTATAGAATGGGTAGAAAAAAAGGGTATATACCTAGGGGTCCTTATTAAGGGTCCCTCCTTGTACCCTTGGATGTTACTGTCTAGACCAGCATCCTGAACCCTAAACCGGATTGTGCACTTGGTAGCTACATCCCCTTCTAGTCCCTTCTGAATTTGCAACGCTGCGATAAGGTACCCTTAAAGGCAAATTCGAAGAAGGGTACCCCCAAAGGCCTAAGAACGATAACGCACCGCCAAAGGCCTATTCTACGAACTAAGGCCCCTGTGATAGAACCCAGCAGCCGTTTTAGAGCCCATTGAAGGAAACATCGAACATGTTCACGAAACCTTCTTCGAATGATTAAGGCCCCCCTGTTTCACCTGAAGACATGACTTGGCCATCGCGAGGAGGATGTGAAGGGAGGTGCCGAACACAAGGGCGGAGGCAGTGGTGGTTAAGGGGTTCGGATCTTGTGGTTGTTGGAGTTTGAGGTTAGTCTTCGGGTGTACGGTTCAGGGTTCAGGGCAAGGGAGTTATTGGGCGTCTGTAAGGGGTTTGGAAGGAGTTGTGTTCTTGTTTGAGGGGTGTGTCTGCGTGCAGAAGGGGTGTTCGAAGGTTTGGAGGGGCTTCGTTTTTTTTTGTCATTTGTTGCTCATTTTTTTGTAGGGCTTGGACTGGTTCCTTACAATGTTTTATAACCAGGGTAAGTCGCCAGGTTCGAAACTTGAAGTTTTTTGAGATGAGGCTCAGGTTTCTGGGATTTAGGGGTTTCGAGCTTGTAGGGGTAGGGAGTTTTAAGAGGGTGTTGGGGGTTTTGGCCCGAGTGTTTCAGAGCTTCGGGTTTAGAGCCAGCATAAAGGCCGACCCATCCACTGAGGGTTTAGGGTTTCAGGTTCGGAGCTTTGTACTTAAGGCTCTAGGCTGAGGGCTTCGGGTCTTTTTAATTCAGGTTCGGGTCTTTTTAATTCAGGGTTGCAAAACTTTGGTGGTCGTAGAGCCTCCATGTCTGTGCACGAGGCCCGGTTCTGAACCCACACCCTGGACTGAATGACCTCAACCCGAAGCCTGCGCCCTAAACACGAATCCTTAAACTCTACCTGCGAAACCCAAACCGTGGTCCGTTTGAAGGTTGAGAATAATCACCAATATCAGTCCTTGGTTCCTTGGTATAGTGATAGTGCTGCTATAATTAGTACACCCCAAGCCCCAAGCCCAAACCCTTGGTTCCTTGGTATAATGTTGTGGCTATAATAGACCCCAAGCCCAATTCCACTTATTAAGCCGCCTAAAGCTCCCTTGAAACCTTCTCCAGGCCGAGGCAAGGGCAAAGGCAAAGGGAAGGGCAAGGACAAGGGCAATGACCAGGCTGGAGCTGTGCTGCTCTTGAACACGCTTTAGGGTTTGGGGTTTGGGGGGAAACTTCACTTGTTTCAAAGAATCCCAAGACCCTAGCTTTGTCGTGCCTACTGCAGCTATTGCCGGCTTTGTTACTGCGGTTTGCTACAATGGATTGCGGTACTTCTGCTTCTCCTCAATGCTCTTGCCATCCCCCTTAAGATCACTGCCGCCAACGTGCTCAGAATGAACAGCGTCATGAGACCAGCCTTGTGATGATTTTCACAGTGATTGCCATCCTTACCGCCAGTGGTGGTGATTGTAGGGGGAGAAGGAGGAGGAGGAGGAAGAGAGGAGGTGGTGGAGGAGGATAGACGGCAGTAGTGGTAGCATCAGGAATACGGTACCGCTTCTGGCATTTCTGCTTGCACGACTCTGGAGTTCAAGACTGCTAATGGTGAAGTCACTAGCCGTATCAACGCCAGGCAGTAACAGGAAAGTAAGTTTAAGAATCTAGCCATCATCACCGTCATTGCTGACCCGTTGCAGCAGTAGGAAGAGCAGTTCTGTGAGTGAAGTTCAGCAAACCCTATGCAGGGAACACGAGCCATGATTTTGTTTGGTGCCTCGCTGATCGTAGCAGCAACTGCGGCCTTCACAAAGACATCATGAAAAAATCGGCCAAAGATCTCCCATAAAAAGTACAGTCGGGTAGGGACATCTCGGGGCTTCCACGATCTTGTCGTTCCGTAGCTTTCGACGGGACGGCAGAAGCGACGTTATCTTCTGAACAAGACTCCACCTCCACCTGAACCTGAGCCCTTGAGACTAAACGCCAACCCGAAACTCAGACTACATGAGGCCCCTACACCTCAGAACCCTCAAACCCTAAACCTCCAAACCTAAACCCTAAAACCTAAACCCAAAGCCCTAACCCCAGGCCCTAAACCCAAACCCAAATGCCTTAACCCCTAAACCCTAAACCCAAACCTTAAACCCCTAAACCCCAAACGCCTAAAGGCTCCACTTCTGTCGGCGGCGGAGGGTCCAAAGCCCGGCGGGAAGGGCGCCAGGGGAGGCGCGGCCTTAGGATTTGAAGCTCGGGGCGCTGCTCTCACGGTTTAGGGTTTAGGGTTTAGGGTTTATAAACCCTAAACCCCTATAGGAGTTTAGGGACAGTATGGGACAGTACACCTACTGTTTTGGGGTTTGGGTCTTCGCAGCTCAGGGTGTGGGGTCGTTCTGTTTTGGGTTTGGGGTTGGGGCGTTTCTGGTTTAGGGTTTTGAGTTTGGGGTCTTTGAAGATGAGGGTTCAGGGTGTTTGGTTTAGGCTTTAGGGTTTAGTTGGGGTTTAAGGAAAGGCTTAGGGGGAGCAGGCCGAGTTTTTGGGCTTCCCTTCCGGATTCTGCTGGAACAGCTCGTGCCCCAAACTGAAGCCCTTAACAATAAACCCCAGAGCCCCAGACTCTACGCGACGTAGCCCTAAAGCACCGCAGAAAGCTCTAAGTCCGTTTTTGATGGGCAGGCATGGTCTTTGAGAACGGCGGCCGCCAGGGAGGTGAGGAAAACATGGGAGTTTGTTTGGAGTCAGGTGTCCTTCTGTTTGGGGTTCTCATGTTGCTACTTACGCATCTGGCTATTAAGGGTCTGTGAGACTCCCATGCCCCTTACACTCTCGATGGATCCTTGATGATTCAAGGTTCAGTGCTCCATTTGGGGGGTGCTGGGTTGTCTGGATGAGGGCTGCTGTTTAAGTTTGGGGTTTAGCTTCAGGGCTGATCCGAAACTCATGAAACCAAAACTCGAAACTCTAGATAGACACCCTATCCCTAAGCCCTAAGCCCTAAACCTTTGCAGCAGTAGCCCTAAGCCCTGAACATCGGGGTTTCGGGAATTTCGGGCTTGGGGTTCGTGTTTTGGGCGTTTAGGGTACACCCGAAACGCTTAAGCATCTCCAGTCCTTCTTGTGAGCCTGATTCGGGTTCAGTGAACCCGAGGCGTGGCTCCCAGACGAAGATGCCCTTGAACATAGAGAACTCAATACGCCTTAATTAAGGATACCGAGCCCCGTATAACTGAAGGTATATTCCTGAACTAGGGGGTAGTGTAGGAAGGCAATGTTCTAAGGTATGTTCCTTGACTGGGGAGAGAGAGGTTACATGTACATATACATACAGAACGGGCCACCCTGGGAGTGCGCTTTTTCCGTGTTTTACGTTCTCCAAGACACACCAACGACAGTTAGGAGTCACGAAAACTGTACAACGATTGCAGACTCGCACAACATATATATATATATATATATACACGCACACATACATACATAGAGTTACACTACCTCTCAACCTTAATCCCCAAGTCGGCAAAACCCTCAGCCCCGAAGCCAACCATGGACGCTGGCCTGTTGCTTCTGACAGAGAGCCCAATACCCCTTAACTAAGGAATATATCTTAAATCATAATATGAAGCCCTATATAGTTTAAGCCACATTTCTTAATTCCTTTATAGACCCCCTTAAAGATCCCTTATAGATCCCTTAAAGGAACCCTAGGTATTCCTTACCTATTGGGCTCTCTGGGCTGACATACCCAGATGGCGACGGCCGGCGCGGTGGGGAGCGTGGACGAGAGCCGGTTGGCCGCTACCGGCCCGGACCTCCGGCTTAGGGGCTTAAGGTTTACAGGGGTTTTAGGGGTTTTCAATTTAGGGGTTTAGGGTTTGGGAGTTTAGGGGTTTAGGGTTTGGGAGTTTAGGGGTTTAGGGTTTGGGAGTTTAGGGGTTTAGGGTTTGGGAGTCTAGGGGTTTAGGGCTTAAGGATTTTGGGATTTAGTTGGGAGTTTCCGAAATAGGGGACCCTAATATAGTACCCTAAAGATTAATTAGGATCCTTATTATGAGGACCCCAAAGTAAAGTATTTGCAATTTTTGGAAGTTCCCATTTGGAGTTTTGGGTTGAGGGCTTGACGGGTTCATGTTCAGCATGAGCTCTTAACCTTCGTCTCTATCTTCGAATGGGAGTTCCCGAAAATTAGGGTTACCTTATTTTTGTTGGGGCCCTTATAATAAGAATCCTACTGTTTAGGGTACTATAGGGGTCCCCTACTTTCGGAAACTCCCAAATCTACCACTTGATCTTGGTCTGATGGAACCTTACTTTAAGGCTCAGCGCATGCGGCTACTAATGTTCCAACTTTCTTGCTTCCAGCTAAAACCCTCCACCCGAAATCCTAAAAACCCTAAACCCTAAACCCCAGGAGACCCCAGGAGCCCTAAACCCTGAAAGCCCCCTAACTCCAAACCCTAAACCCTAAACCCCACGAGCCATAAACCCTAAACACTGAGGTCGCGCAGCCGGGACCGACGCGACCGCGACCGGGACCGGGACCGCGATCGAAGAGATCGGCGGTGAAAAAAGGGCGCAGGATGGTTTCAGGGCTTACCTTGGGATCCAAAACATACCGTCTTAAGCGTTCTACCCTTTCATAAAAGGGTCATCGTAACCTACTCTTTTGTAGGTTTCGGGTCACAGGGTGCAGGATCTAGGTTTTGACCTTGAGGGCTAAGGCTTTGAGGTTTGGGGTTCAGGGTTTGGAGTTCAAGAGTTCGAGGCTTTTTGCGGTTGAGAGAGTTCCGGCCGTTGAATTATTTAGAGTTCAAGGTTAAACGGTTAGAGTTACATATTGGCTCCAGACTTTGAGTTTAGGGATGAAGATCTTTTAGGCTAAGGGTTTAGAGTTGTTGACGTTGTTGGCTTACTGATCAGGTTTGACCTGACGCACTGCCCTAAACCCTAAAGCGTGGAGTGTACAGCCGGCAGGTTATGACTGACAGGGTTCGCACGGTTTAGCTTGAAGTTTATATAGCCTGCTTGGGTTCGTCTTGAGTTTTGCTGCGGGGTGGTTACCCGCAGCCCTCAAAATCCAAACCCATGAGCCAGAAGCCTTGAACGAAACCTGTAAAGACCCCTTCTCAACGAACCCTTAAATTGCAGGCCGACATACCGATCAAAGGCGGCTGCGGCCACGGCGTACGGAGCTGTTGACACAGCAGGCTCGGTCTCTTTGCATGTTTGCGTCTGGAGCTTGGCTTTACCGCCTGGTTTTTTTCTACAAGGTTCTGCAAGCCTATAATACAACCTGAAACCACCATAAACCCCTTGAGTATAGAAACCCTGCTGAACCCTTATAGTCTATAAGCGCTCAAATGGGGAAACTTCAATGGCCGCTGCCCCAAGACCCTACTAGGTAGAACAGTGCTTCAGGCATCATAGGGACTGCACTATTACTGCTACATTTTTCAGACGCACTCTCCTTCAGCTGCATCTTCTTATCGGACAACCAGAAGCCCTTCGTCCCAAAATTCCTATACCGGAAACCCCGCGACTCATGTGCTCACAACGCCGAACCCCCGAATGCACCCAAAGCCCTGAAGCCTGAACCCCTGCAAAGAGGACTCAGCGGTGCGACCCCCGACTCGACTTGGGGTAGTTCCCCGACTCGACTTGGGGTAGTTCTGCAAATGAGGGCTCCTTTATTACTAGGATGCCCAGTAGTACCCTTATTCCCTTTTTGTAGTCCTAGGTTCCTTATAAAGTTACCCAATACCAAAAAGAGAGGCCTTTTTATTCTTAGGTTACTGGGTATCCTAGATTAGGTCCCCAGGATGGCACGGCACCCTTTCACAAAGGACACTTAAGAGGAATCCTAATCTAGAGAACTACCCTAAACAAACCCAAGCCCCCAAAGCCTTATGAAGAGAACCACCCTAAACCTTAAAGCCTTGTGAAACTGGCCCGAGAAGGGAGCCTAATTTAGAGAACTACACCATTTTGGTGGTTCCGAACCACTCCCTTACAGCCACCAAGGCCGAGAGAGCCAACCTGAAAGGGGTTTGGGGTTTAGGGGTTAGGATTTTTAGGGTTTTGGCTTTTAGGGTTTGGGGTTGTAGCTTTTAGGGTTTAGGGTTTTAAGGTTTTAGATTTTAGGTTTCAGGGTTTAGGGTTCGGGGGCAACCTTGAACCCTAAGGCCCAACCCTAAGGCCCAAGCTCACAACACTTCGAAGCTCGTCGCCAGGCCTGAAGCTTCCTCCCGCAGTGGTCCGCAGCGCGGCTGCGACGAGGCCGGGTGTTCGGAAAGCCCAGCTAAGACCCAGGTTCTCTATATCATTTTGTTTTATTTTGGGCTTTTATACGGTTTACTGATAGATTGCTGACTTCATTTCACGGCCTTCATTCCCGAAAAGGGCACGAAGAACCTTCCTGGAACGGTTATGGAGCCTTTATAAAACCCTTATACCCTACAAGAGTCCTAACAATTGTTCTTACCAGAGCACGAAGAACTGCAGGCTCAACAGTCCAGAGCGTGCAGCAGCGCAGCAGCCGCCTCCGGCGAGAGGCTAAGACATCGGCTGAGGGCCTGGTAGGGTTGAGCGTTTTGGGTTAGGGGTTTAGGGTTTTGGGGTTCGGGGTTTTTGGCGGCGTTGCTAGTGTCCAAAGACGCACTCATGAATTCAGTCTGCCGGCCTAGAGAAAAGGCCAAGCTGTGGCACGCGCTCTGCGCAGTGCTTCAGCTGGTCCAAACAGGATAGCATCGCCCTGAAGGACAACAGCGAAATCACCCGTCTCAAAGGTGTGTTCACCATCGACAAGGTGGATGTTTTCAGCTATTACGGCGGCTAACTGTACAAGGGGTCTCTGCCAGTCCGCCTCGCCGAAACCAGCATGCCAGGAAATGCCCGTCTCAACCAGACGCAACCAATGCTGAACGAAAGTGGTAACCTGGTGCAGCTCAACAAGCTGGCTGATATCCAAGCTATCATCGTGGTTGCCGGGAGTGGGGCTCTCAGCAGCAGGCTGGGGCTGAGGCCGTAGGGTGGCCCACCAAGGGGTGGGTCCCACCAATGCGGTCGGTGGGGTAGAGCGTGGGGCACACTGCTCTGGAACAGCTGCGGCCTCCACCTCCGCTTGCTGGTACTTAAAAGCACAAGCTGGCGACCTACGGAAGTGGTCACGCAAACGGGCAGTGTCCCAGTATTGCCTCCTGCAAACCTCGCAGGCTGTGCCCCATGCATATGTCTGCATGGCACGCACTCCATGCGTCTTAGCCCTGTGCACTGCGAGGCGCGCGGCACCTCGGAAGCCTCGGTTGCAAACATCACACCTATGCAAGGTCGCTGGGTGACATGCCTGTGGGATCCGCGCATAGTGGAGCCCGGCGTCCGCAACAGCCTGATGGGCCTCGGCCTTCCGAATTGCACCTGGTACCAGCTCCGACCGGCTAGCTATGCACGCCTTGCGAAAGCGCTGTAGAAGCGAGGTGGTGGCAGGTCGGTCTCTCGGCCAAGCAAGGATGAGGCCTTCAGTGGTGGGCCCACTCTGGACCCAGCTGAGCAGGGACGCATCAGACAGTAGGGAGGCAATTAGCAGGACATCAGTCCGCACCTGCTGAAGCCATTTGCCCTCCGCGACCAGGCTCTGGATCAAATATGCGTCGGCTCTCTGGTGCAATTGGGCAAGGACGCGGACACGGCGGACGGCCAACGCCTCGTCTGGCAGCAGGGTCGCAGTGAGTGCACAAACCTGCTGCGCATTGAGCCTTCTGCATGACACCTTGTGCAGAGGTTTAACGCTGCCGCGCAGGAAGCCCATGTAGTACTTGTCAAAGACTCCTTTGCTCGCAGCGCTGTCTAAGGTCCATGTGCCGGCACCGTGGAGGAACTTGGCTAGGACAACGGCAACCAACAGATTCTGACGCTCAGGGAGAGTCAAGTGCGCATTGGCTAGTATCCGTCTCTTGAAGGCAGGGAAGACGTCGCGCGCCAATTTGGCACGTTCAGTGACGGCTGTCACATCTTCAGCTCGCCCATCCCGGACAACTCCAAGGTGAGTGTACCGATCGACACATCGCAGATGGAGAATGCGATTGTCAGGCATCCGGACATCGACCTCGGCCGCCTGTGTGACAAAGAGAGTCTCGCGTGCCTTGGCGGAGCCAGCGCCGTGGAGGCAGACAACAGCTTCTGTTTTCCCTGCGGAGAAATTCACTTCAATGCCTGCCACCGAAAGGTACTGGCAAACCAGGGAAGCTGCGCGAGACGTGTCGGCCGCAACCATATCCGGGGTGGCGGAAGTCACAAGCACTGCAATGTCGTCAAGCCAGGACTGCGGCGAGGCTTGGGCGGCATCATCTCCTGTGGTGAATTGGGCTGCCACTCCCTCATCACGTAACTGACTGCACAGGCACGCCATCGAAGCCTCAATGACGTACTGGAACAACATGTCGGCCACAGGGGAACCGGGCACCGTTCCTTTGGCCGTTTTGTAGACAAGCGGTGCAGTGGCATCCACAGAGAACCACGTGTTGTGGAACGCCGCCCGAAGGAGCGTGACAGTGGCATCGCTGATGCCAGCTCTTTCTAGGGCGCCGGTATCTGCCAATGCACACATGATCCTCGTTCGAACCTCTGGCTCAAGCGGTAGAGATTCAATGTATTGCTTCAGCGCTCCAGCCTCACTGGTAAAGAGGTGTCCTCGATGCGCAGCATAGAAGGCTGAGACGCCGTCAACAAACAGGACAGAGCCAGCCTTACGCTGTTGCTTGAGGGCGGCAATATGGGAACGCACAGCCATGGAAGGAACCTCGGCGGGGAAAGCAGCACGAGCACCTCCGATGGTAGGAAGGGCCTTGCGTTCGAAAGCGGTGCTAAGTTCCCTGCGCGTAGCCTTGGTAATGGCTTTGCATGCTGGTTCGGCCAGTGCAATGGACCGGTAACCAAGACAGAGGTCCGCAGGCTTTCCGGCCTTGGGAATCGGGTGGGCCCTCATCCCCGTCCAAAGGAGCGGCATGTGCCGTCGTCCAATTGCCTTTAACACCAGGGGCATGTGGCAGACAGCAGCAAATGGCGCACACTGTGAATAGGCCTCGGATGGAATCCCAGACAGGCCCGGTGCTTTGCCAGATTTGAGGGAGGCAAATGAGGCAGACACATCAGCAAGCGTGGGGGCACCGTCTAGTGCAACTTGTTCTTGGCCCGGCTGGTGAGCAATCGCAAAGCTGTCGAGGCGGACCTCTGTAGCATCTTCAGCATCAGCAAAATGCGCACCAAATGCTCGAAGGATGGCATTCGGGTCAGTGACAACCTCACCGCCCGCCTTCAAGGCCTCCGGAAGGCCAGCTTGGGGAGTAGCTCTGCCACTGCGAAGGACAGACCGAAGCCGGCGTGCAAGGGCGGTGGGTCCTTGCTCTCGGCAGTCTTGATACATAAGCCGAACGTACTCAGCCTCATCTGCTCTGTGTGCTTCCCTCAGCTGTCGGCTCAAGTATTGCATAGTGCGCATGTGCTGCGCCAATGCAAGGTCACATCGCTTGCGGGCCTGGTGCAGACGCCCTGCGTCTGCGCCTGATAGGCCGCGCCAAGCCCGGAAACATTGGTCCAAGACTGACCTGGCCTGGAGCGTGGCCCGGCGCCTATAGACACGCCGCTGCTCCCGGCGGTCCGCTATAAGTTGCCAAGTGCTCTGCGACATGGAAGGCTTGCGGGGCCGATCCGTCGCTGGAAATGCAGCTGCAAGGTGATGCTGCAGGTGCTGGTTGATGCACTGCAGGTGTGCATCAACGCTGGTTTCCCATGGCACATCGGGCATGGTGCTGTAAATTTGCTGCAGCTTGAGACGGCCGTCCGGCGTGAGCATGGCACCTCTATCCAGCTTACGAGCTGCCCGGGGTGGGCGCCAAATCTGGACATCAAGCTCCATAGTGACCGGATCGTGGTCAATGCCCGCATGCTCGTCGGATATCGGGAGTACACCCTGCAGAGTGCAGTGTTGACCCCAGGCCCGAGGTACGACGACATAATCAAGGCAGGCTCCAGTGCCAAGGTTGCCGGCAGGTGGGCGCCAAGTAACGCGAGGGCGACCATCAGACTCATATGCATCTGTACGCTGCAGTGCAAATTCGTCCAGAAGCTCCTGAAAGGCACGCGCATTGTTGTTGGTCGGTTGCTCAGCACGCTCGCCCCACTGAAATCTGGCGTTGGCATCAAGCAGGAGCAGCGGCTGGTAGCCGGCAGGTACAGCCAATAGTCTGTCCCGCAACATCCTCCACCAGCCAGAACGTTCGGCCTCAGGAGCGACGGCGGTAGGGCTGTGCCCAGCTATGATCACCAGACACTGGTCGCCAAGCTTGGCGTGTACTTCGAGAAGGCGCTCATTTTGGAAGGCTTTACGGAAAAAGGGGCGCGCCCATGGTCCCGCTGCAGTATTGATCCAGATTTGACAACCAAGTTGTCCGCCAGGCGCGGGGCCTGCGAAGCGTAGGATATCCTGGACGCAAGCCTTGCCAACTGTGTCATGCCTGGTCTCCTGTAGGCCTAAGATCTGAATGCGGTGCGCGGTCATGTATTCCGAGAGACACTGACGCTGTAGAGCAGTTTTGCATGAAAGTGTGTTATAAGTGACCGCCCGCAGGTGCAGTCGCACGCAAGTAGGCACATCTTGCTGAGTATCCGCTGCCCAGGTAGCTGGAATGCAGGGGGCCTGAGGCGCGGGCGCCGGGGCAACTGGTTGTGAGCGGCCATCTTCATCAATGCTTGGCCATGCAACGGAGGAACCCCTGGCCGTGTATAGCCAAATCCAGTCAAAGGCACCTTCCAGGATGTAGCTCGTGACGTGCGAATCACCCAATGGGGCAGCAGGCCCTTGGCACTTAAGGGCTCGTTTTGCTGCAAAGTCAACAAGCTCATTAAGGGGGTCCCCTTGGTGCGAGTAGACGTGCGAAAGGAGAGGCCAGTGCCCCTGCACCCCAGCACACATGTACAACCCCATAGCAGCACGAACTAGACAATCAACTGCGCTAGTCTTGGCATTCCCACTAGCCACCGCAGCAGCACTTTGGGAGTCATAGTAAATCGTGGTGGGGACGGCAGTGTGTGCCGCAATGCCATATGCAACCAACTGGGCGTAGATTTCGGCATCGAATGCAGACCGGACGGGTAGTGCATCACTGATAGACTCAGCAAAGTACCCAACCCAAAGCCATTCCTCAGAGAAGAGCCCGAGACAGCAAACGGCCCACGCTCCCCGGCCTGATTCGTAGGATCCGTCCACATAAAGGAGCAATGCCTGTGGGGTGGCGGTCTCCGGTGCTGCATCTAGCGTCTCAAGGAAATCTTTAGACGCCGTGTGCAAACCCCGCCCTCTAGGCTTCTTTCTGCACAGATGGGCAAGGGAGAAGCCTCCCAGTGCCAGAGTTTTGGCATCTGCCGGAAGCCCTAGGTGGAGCGATGCCTCATGGGGTAGAGGTGAAGTCGGAGGCAGCTCATCGGGGGCTGCACTCGGGGACATACACCTCTGCGTCAGCTGCAGCTGGAATGCACGTATCTAAGGATAGGCTTCGACGCTCGCGCACATCAGGTGAACCCGTGACCTTCAACACCTCCGACACGGAGGGAGCTTCCAGGCATTTGTCTGTCCGGTCTGTTGCACCTGCTAGCACAGGGGCAAGCGGTCTAACCTCGACAAACTGTTTGTCCAGGTGAAGTTCACTAGCACTGGGGCCCTGCGGGTGCAGGGAGTTGCATCCCAGGTTAGCAGATGTGCATTCAGCGGACAAGAGGTTATCAGCCGTACCGCGTGAGGAGGCCGAAATCCCTCTGCGGCCAAATGGGGTAGCCACTGAGACCTTAACAGCCTCTATGTTCGCTTCTAGGTGCGCAACTTGTCTCCTAACTCGCCCTGGGGTGCCCAAAACCGCTTCATCCGCTGCAGCGCGGATCGCCTGGTCTGGCGAACATTGAAGCTGTCCAAGGATGCAAGGGCAACGGTCGCTGACCAAGCCTTGAGCCTCGGCCTGGCGGCACCGCCGCTGCTGCGCTTGTCGAAGATCGGGCAACTGCGCGAGTGAAGTCCCTCCGGAGGACGGCACCGTCACGATGCTCATGGGCTTCGACGCGGCCGAGGAGGTGCCTCCCGAGCCGGTAACGGCGCCGGTAGCAGGCGCCGCCGTAGCAGCAGGTGGATTACCACTGGAAGAGGCAGGCTCTGCTGGTAGTGCAGCTGTCGAAGCTACAGGAGGTGGCAGAAGCTCGGTGCCCGGTCGGATTTGGGCGAGGGAAGGTGCCATCCGCGCAAGGGACTGTCGTCCAAGAGGCCGGGCGACTAGAATACCTGCACCATCGATCCAACCTTCAGATGGTGGGACCAAGGTGAGCTGGTCATGTACTGGCAGGAGGTGCCAGGGTGGTCTGGTGTCGGCCGGCAGGTGGATGAGAGTGTAGGCCCCAAAGTAGATGGGATTTGGCACTGAGTACGTCATGCCGCGCACCTCCCGCGGGGCAATGATGAAGACTTGCGCAACTAGTGTCTCGATGCGAGAATCAAGGATTCTTGCGTCGGCAGAGAAGATACGCAGCTCCCTCAAAAGGGGTTCAGCCTCATCAACAGAAGGGCAGGACATAAGGTCGAGCCAAACGGTGTGCGGTGCTCGGCCCGGTTCCAGCAGCACAACCTTTTGCCTGGTGCGAGATGGCAGTCCGTACATCTCGACCCGAGCTCTTGTCGCTCTGTCAAATCCTGTGAGCAGGGCCTGGTGAACTTCAGCATTGGCTCCTGCATGTGAGGCTCTCGCAGCAACAGTGTTGAATTCCGGGACACGCAGCGGAGCACTCAGGCATTGCAATCGGTTCACACTTCCCAACAATTGCATAGGGTGTCCGACCGGGTATTGCACGCGAAGGTCTCCCGGGAACAACTGAACAAAGTCGCCCGTTCGCAAAGGCCGGCGGACTGCCGACTGTGGCGCCCCATTAACCCAAGCGGCAAAACCAAGGTTCTCCTGATTGCGAGACAGTACATGCTCGGGCAAGGTGCCGGCCTGCACAACCAGGCTGTGAACCTGGGATCCGTCGATTGACGGATCCAGGACAATGTACTCATAGTCGTCAGGAGTGTAGACGAGAATGGGTATGTTGTAGTGCCGGCCCCCCCTGGGCAGGGGCCATGCTGCAGTCATGACGACGTGTGCATTGGGGGGCAAGCGCCCCGCGCGCGTGATTGCCAGTATCAATGACGTAAGCTCGGACACAACATCAAATTGCTGCAAGGGAACCGGCGCTGTGGTCATCGTCATACCAGCCCCAGTAAGCGTGAACCGGACCGTCGTGGCCTCTGTTTGCATGGCTGTGGTGGTCGTGGAGGTGGAGGTCAAAGGTGGTGCATCAGCCGGCATCATGGCAGTACTGCCAATGATACCAGCCCGGCTGACTACCCGAAGCCATTGCAACTCGGCTGCATTGTCAGGCACAGCGGTGTGCACCCCACCGCGAGCATCCTGTAGGAAAAGGTCGCGGTTTAGCAAAAGCTCCTGCAGGAGATCAGACTCCTCGAGTCCCGGGGCAGCCTGGACCAAATGTTCGATGTCCTGCCCTGGAACGGCAGAAACAGTGACAATGGGGCCGCCGACAAAGCGAAAGTCAACTGGGACGGCCGGCTCATCAGCTCCTGCGGCTGTGAGTACAAATTGCGGCTCAGGCAGGCCCGGGACACCAGACATGAGCAGTTGGACCGCTTGCGGCAGCTCAGCTGTGACCCCAGTCGCGGCATGGAAGAAAGCCGCGAGCGACCAGTCAGAATGTGCTGGCAGCAGAGCGGCCTCGGCGCCTGCGACATGCACCGTGAACTCAAGCCCGCCCGTGGTGGCCCGCAGGCTTTCAAACAAGCACAAATCCGCGAGAGGCCGGTGGACAACCTCAGGCTGACGCAGAAAGGCAGGCCGCAATGCAATGCATGACGGGTACAGACCTGCGCCTTCCTGATGGTACGGATCCGCCGCCTCTGCGGCCGCTAGCTGCATGAGTCGCTGTGCCGGTAGGGAGCTGTTGGGCATGCCTGTTGGCACCCGAGCCCCCGTGGTAGTAAGGGTGGTGCCGGCAGTTACAGCAGCAGCCTGAGCCCCTTGGCCGGCTGGTATAGGGATTTGGCCGGCAATCAAGCACAGCCACTGCCAGCCGCCAGAAGGTGTCTGGGGTTCATGTTGGATGCGCCCTACTTCATCTTGCCATGCGACTGCCCCAGTTGGGAAGGTGAAGAGAGTCGGGGCTGGGGCCCCTGCTCTGACAAGATCGGGAAGCGCGGCCAAAAGAACCTGTGGGGGTATCTCAGCCGTGACAACGTCCCGGGCAAAATGCCGGAGATCGCATGGAATTGCCCTAGAAGCAGCCGGGGCTTCACGTCTCGTAAGTACAAGCTGCGGTAGAGGGTATCCTGCCAGGGCCGGATCCAGCACTCGCACATGTCGGACAGGCGCACCAGAAGAGCGAATGGCATCGGTGACAATGTCCTGAAGTGACCAGGTAGATCCAAAGGGCCGGACCCGAGGTCTACGCTGAAACTCAAACACTGTATATTGTCGCCCCTGTGCAGCAATCTCCGCCTCCGTAAGCAAGCCTGCCTGTTGTACCGGCACCGCATAGCCACCTCCGTACACCGTTGGAGGGTCAACTGGGACAGGTGCAGCGACACAATATGCAAGAGTGTGTGGCAGGGCCGGTTCATGAGCCGCCGGTATCTCTTCTGCCGGCGCACGGGGGAGGGCTGGAGCCTGAGGCTGGACGGGTGCCGTGCAGGTCCCAAATGACCGCACAGGCTGCGACTGGGGTGTAAAAACCTCCTGGGTTTCTTGTTCCCGGAGGGAGTACTGGGCAGACGCCGTGCTGGTTCCGTGTGACCGCACAGGCTGTGAGGAAGGACCTGGGCACCCGGGTGGGCTGGGGCCGAAGGTAGCGGCTCCCCGTTGCGGCTCCTCGGTAGAGGGCCGAGTGTCACGGCTGGGGCCGGAGAGAACGGCTCCCATGTGCAGCTCCTCTGCAGAAGGCCGTGGCATACCAAGACGTCGTGAGTCCCGCATGTAACGTTCGAGACTTGGCTGTGCAGTAACAGAGCCAAGGACGTGTTGCACAGATGCCGTGCAGGTCCCAAGTGACCGCACAGGCTGCGACTGGGGTGGTGATACCTCCTGGGCTTCTCGTTCCCGAAGGAGGGACTGAGCGGGGGCCGTGCCAGTTCCAGGTGACTGCACAGGCTGTGACCGGGGTGTTGGAACCTCCTGGGTTTCTTCCCGGAGGGAGGACTGAGCAGAGGCCGTGCTGGCTCCGTGTGACCGCACAAGCTGCGAAGAGTGACCTGGACACCCGGACGGGCTGTGGCTGAAGGTAGCGGCTCCCCGGTGCGGCTCCTCAGTGGAGGGCCGAGAGTCACGGTTGGGGCCGAAGGAAGCGGCTCCCATATGCGGCTCCTCTGCGGAGGGCCGGGACATACCTAGCCGTCGGAAGTCCCGTATGCAACAGTTGATGCGTTGCTGTGCAGGGTCAGAATCAAAAACAACTCGAAGCATACGGCGTGCTGGCAGAGGTCGAGGAAAATTACTATGTACAGAGCCACCCTCAGGACTGTACAAACGCAGCGCTGGCCTCAAACCACGGCTCGAAAGCAGGTCGGAGGTGTTCACAGGCCCCCTGCTCACACTGAGGGCTCGCTGGTCGTCACTGCCCATGTGACCTAGCTCGCCCCCAGCGGTCAGGCGAGTCTCGTGCACACAACCGTCCATGCTTGCGCCGAGAGCTGGGTCACAGCCGTTATCCGCCCACATCGGCGGCATATCCAGAGCCTGCTCCCCTGCAGACTCTAGTCTCCTGTTCGCGCCGGGGGTGAACACACCTCCATGCGATTCAAAAAGGACATCATATCTCAACTGCATGGCTTGCCACCTCGCCTCAAAAGGGGTAGCGAAGTCCCACTCTTCCGTAACCGAGTGGGTATATGGCCATACAGGAAGCACATCCGGCCTCCTAACATCCCGAAGGCACGCTAGGAGGCCTTGCCAGGGGGCACAGAGGGCCCAGATTTGGGCGATGCGTCGACCTGGATTGGCTTGGATCGCCGCGGTGTTCTTTCGCGCGTCATCTCTCCAGCCTTGTCCAGCTCCTCCTCTGCTGCCGCCTTGACCTTGTCGAGAGCATGGAGAAGGTCTGCGCCCTGTTGCGCAGCCGTCTCTGCGGCTGCCTGCATCTTCACCTCTGCAGCGGCCGCAGCATCCACGGTTGCCTCGTTGATCTCCAGCTCCATCTCGGAGTCTGCCTCGCCCTCTTCCGGCTCCTTGGCCATCTTCGAGAGCGATGTGGTAGCCTCCTGTAGTGCCACCTCCCATTGCTGCTCCTTGACCAGGTACTCCTGCATGTTGGCAGTGTGCTCTGCAACCTGGTCCGACAGGGTCGTCGACACCTGCGTGACGTAGCCTGCCCAGAGCTGTAGGTACTTGCCTCTGGCCGCGCGGAGCTTGGCAAGCTCTCTCTTGGCTGTGGCTTGGTTGGCCACGACGCGGTGGAGTGTCCGCGCCTCGTCGCGCGTGGTGTCCTGGCGGTGCTGTGCCAGCACCTCGCGGAGTTGCGGTGGCAACTCGGCCTCGCTGGCCTGCAGGGCCCCAATGAGCTTGTCCAGGGAGGCCTTCTCCTGTGAGCTCGCTGCAGCAGCCGCGGGCTTGGCTGCACTGCTGGGCCCCCCTATGGTAGGCTTGGGCGGCGGTTTGGGCAACTGCTGTGCATCGGGAGCCACTTGTTCCGGTGCACTGGTGCTCTCCGGTTTGCCCGCCTTGCCTTTGCCCTTTCCTTTGCCCTTGGTCTCCTTGCGGGGTGACTTGGGCCGCCGAGATCTGGGGGACCGAGTGTCCCGCTTGGTGTGGTCGTAGTCCCACGCCTGTTCTCCACGGCGGGGGGTATACCTGGCAGACTGTTGCTCCCAACTGCTTCCACAGGAGGAGCAAAAGCTCGCGGCTTGCTTGTTCGTCCTGCTGCACGTATAGCACCACCAGCCTTTGCCACCGCCCTGCATCGCGTCCAAGACTCGGATCGCACGTGCAGGAAGCTCGCTGCAAGAGTGATGGGCCGCTAGACGGTCCGCAGCCTGCCGTACAACCGAAGCTGGTACTGCAGCTCCGTCCAAAAAGCACCTCAAGCGGTGCCTCGCGGCCAGGCGCGAGCGCCTTAGCCGCCTGTGCCAGGCAGCTTCTTTCTGCACAGGCCTCCTCACTGTGGCCACCCAAAAAACTCACCCAGAGTATCAGTGGGAAAAACCAGCAAAACATATAAAAACTTCCCTCGCACGGCGTACAGGAAGGAAGTCACTCCAGCCACGTAGGGGAGCGACTTGTCGTAGTTCGCCGGGGCCGCTCTTGCGGACGCACCCGGGAAAGCGCGGGCCGAAGGGCCTCGCCTGGGGTTCCTTCTCCAAGGAAGGCGGACCTCCTAAGAGGAAACTACGCCTAACCTGGAAGCCAGAACGCCTGGGGTTCGGGGTTTAGGGTTTAGGTTTGGTCTGCGTACTTTTAGGATTCACGTCGGATTCTGGGATGTTCTATGAGGGTTCTCTTACGGTTTCATCGGGTTGGAGAGTTTCAATCCGAAACTTCTAGACAGACTCATTCCCAGAACCCTCAGCCCTTTAATCTTTGGAAGGTGCACGAGCCCCCACCCAGAACTGAATGTCCTTTCATGCAAGGGTCCACTAAACTCTAAACCCGACACAGTTTCCTCGCCTCCCGAGACACCCGAAGCTCGAAACCAAACTAAACCCCTTCAGCACCAAAAGCCGCCGAGTTCCGCCCTTCGCCAGAGATGAGGCTGCCCCCGGTTTTGGAGTTTTGTGTAAGGTTTCAGGTTTCTGGGTTTTACAAGATTCAGGATTCATTGCCTGGGACTTTGAATTCTGGGTTTGAGGTCTCGATTTCGACTTTAGCTGTGGCGTCGGTTTCCGGATTGAAGACCGGGTGTGGGTTGAGGGTTTCGGGTGGAATGTAGGAGCCCTAATAATTACCTATACTATTTTGGGTGCTCCGTATTGTAGTTACAGCATAATGCACCCCAAACCCCGATTCTAATTTTTAAGGCCCCTATATTAGGTGCCGCCCCTATATTAGGTGCTCCCCAAAGCTTCATGAAGCGCTAAAATCCCAAACACCGACCCGTGAACAATGAACTCCCGGACCTTTGAATCTAAGGCCCTGAATCCTCAACGTAGCAAAGCCTCCCAACGCGAAACCCTAAACCCCTAAAGCCCCTAGAGCCCCTAAAACCCGAAAACACCGAAAACCACCAAAACCCCTAAACCCTAAAACCCCTAAGCCCAAAACCCTAAACCCTAAGACCCTAAACTCCAAACAACCAAAAGCCCTAAACCCTAAACCCTTAAAGGAAACCATATAGATACCTCCTTTACAAGGAGCCCTTATAGATCCTACTATGGTAACTAACCCCCCCGCCCCCCCGAAACCAAAAACCCTGAACCTCTAAACCCTAAAGCCCCTAAAACCCCAAAACCCACAAAACCCCTAAACCCTAAACCACCAAAAGCCCTAAACCCTAAACCACCAAAAGCCCTAAACCCTAAACCCTAAACCCTAAACCCTAAACAAAAAAATGCTCCAAAGGCCCAGCTTCCGTCCAATGCCCACCTCGCCCTGTCCCGAGTTCGCCCCGTTCGACAACGGAGGCGGAGTCGGGGGTTTTGGTTCAGCGTTTCGGGTTGAGGGTTGAGGGTTTAGGATTGAAGGTAGTTTAGGTTTAGGGTTCAGGGTTTAGGGTTGAGGGTTTAGGGTTGAAGGTCTAGGGTTCAGGGTTTAGGGTTGAGGGTTGAGGGTTTAGGGTTGAAGGTTTAGGGTTCAGGGTTTAGGGTTGAGGGTTTAGGGTTGAGGGTTTAGGGTTGAGGGTTTAGGGTTCAGGGTTTAGGGTCGAAGGTTTAGGGTTTAGGGTTGAAGGTTTAGGGTTTAGCGTTGAGGGTTTAGGGTTTAGGAGTTGTAAAAGCTTCAGGAAAGAAACTCACCTCCTGAGGCTTTCGGTGCAGGAAGCCCCTTACCCGCCACCCCAAAAATCGGGTTTGGGCTTTAGGGCTTCAGGGTTTTAGGGGTTTTCGGGCTTTGCGGTTTAGGGTTTTCGACGAATTCGAGTTTAGGGGTTGTGGGTTTTTTGCAGTTTAGGGTTTTCCGGTGTAGGCTTGAACCCAGAGCGTCCAATACTTCTTAATTAAGGAATAATAAAGGAATATAGCTTAAATCGTAATATGAAGCCATAAAATTTGAGCCATATTCTTTAATTAATTCCCTTCCAGACCCCCTTGTCGATCCCTTTAAGGAACCCTTTAAAGAACCCCTAGGCCTTAAGCCATATTCTTTATTTACGGGATATTGGGCTCTCTGGGAAGATGCGACTTGCGCGAATCCTGTCGCCAGGCAGTCCCGAGGCACGGGGGGGGGGGGGGGGGCTTTGTCGACGGTTGGTCATACCTAGGGTTCCTTTAAGGGATCTATAGGGTTTAGGGTTTAGGGGACTCCAAATTCCCTAAATTAAGGAGTATTCCTTAAATCATATAAGGGATCGGACCCTAATTTAAGGAATATTCCTTAACTATGGCATATATTATAGTCTCTGGGTTGATCATCCCGGTATTAGTTCTACCAGGAGCCGGCGGACAAAGTCGCATAATAAGCGAGAGTAGGGAGGAGGACGATGCTTTGGATCAACTTCCGAGGTTTTTAGAGTCGAGATCGAAATCGAGAGGGGCTTCATGGGAGTTTTCTGCAGTTTCGGCTGAGAACTTTATGATTTTGTCTATGGTGGTCGTCTGTGGGTTTGTCAACAGCGAGAACCGTCGCATAGCCTCAGAACCTTGCAGAACCTGTATAGAAACCCGATAAAACCATTTCAGAACCTTCAAGCCCCTAAACCCGAAACCCGGCACCTGTGCAAACAGATCCACCGGCCTACTGGATCAGGGGGCTTGGTCAGTGGGGTTCCGCAAAACGAGCTTACAAGATTCCTAGGAGGGGCTTACAAGGAATGTAAAAGGGTTCTTTAAGGCTGGTAAGGGGTTTACAGATAGGGCCGTAAGCAAAATAACCCCCATTTAGGGTACTTATCACCCCATATGCCATACGAGCTACTTACTAAGTTCTGGCGCTGGGGCTGAGCGAGGGGGACGTGTTGGAGAGCAATGCGCAGCATGTTTGGGGTGTGGTTGTCTATGGTCAAGGAGCCGACTGCGCGACAAACTCTCCCTGTAAACGCCACCAAACTAAACTTCGAAAAGGCCGCGGGCTTCAAGTGCCCCACTGGCAAATCCGTCTAACTCGAAACCCCACACCCTCAACCTTGAAACCTGAAACAACAGACCCACTATATGGTTACCAAAACAAGCGACAACAAATCCCCAAGGTTTACTTGGAAGATTAGAGACTTGATCGTATGTCAGCTATACGTTTCAGTAGAGTTGGAAGTAGCATAACAGGAGAACCCGATTTCGGATACTTATCACTGCTCTTGGAAACTTCTTGCCGAGTCTCCTGATCCTTAAAGTAAGCTGGTGTTACTTTCCTGGAGCTGCCGCGATGGCCCTCTTCCAGAAGTATCCGGGCAAGAAGGATCGAGCCTGACGTTCGGGAGTTTCAGGGCTTCAGGCCTTTGAGATTTACGGGGTTTCCAGGTGGGGTTTGGGGTTGGGCTATCGGGGTTTACGGGGTCTAGGCGTCTAGGGTTTGGAGGTTTGGGCAATTAGGGGTTTGGGGGTTCAGGGTCCTTACTGAATACTGCGCCCTAGACCCTCTGCAACATGCCGTGGCATCCCAGACTTATACCCTACACCCCGATTCACACAGAGCCCAAGATGTTTTCATATCTAAACGAAACCCAAGAAAGACGTTCTGGGATTAGT